GAGTCTCTTGTTATTTGTCTCCATAAGTAGTTGCACAAAACCTTTGAAGTTGTCTTGTTGTTGGCTCAACAGTGCGGTGTACATCTGCTTCTGCTGACTCAACATCTCTGTTACTTGCGCCGCTGAAATATAATCCTCTTCTGCTTCAACATCCTCGTTCGCTTCTGATTTATTAGCTCTTTTCCCTCTTGGAGGCATTTTAATAGTTGTAGAATTTGTTCAAAGACTTGAAAATGTAGAAGATGTGAAAAATCGTAGAACAGACAAGAGGAGCAGTAAAGACGTCTGCTCTCCCTTGCAACCCGAAAGAAGACACATGTTGACTGCTGAAAATATATCAAGGATGTTGTATTAAGATGATAAATATGCCTTACTTTTTGTTTTGCGTACTGATTCAGTCCTGTAATATTATTGGCTGATTGTAATTAAATAACCAATATCTCACTTGCCTAAGTTCTGATCTACTCTCTGTAAGCAAACTGAGGGGAACACACAGTATTGTAATATAATGCTATAATGTTTTCCTGCCAAAATAAATCTTATGTCCAATAACATTTCCACACTTATGATTTATTTATATATTTCTCCTTGGCTCAGTCTTACCTAGTTTGAAGAAAACCATCCCTGCTCCTTTTCCTTGGCACACTGGCTGAAAGACCTGCGGCAGGAGAGGGTTGGGGCACACGGCTACAGCACTCGTTTCTGCGAGTGGAGGGCTAATTTTGCCATTTAAATGCATCAGCTCCTTCAGCTGCTTCACCGCCTCCAATGGGAAGCTCCTGTCTCCAACCTGGCAGGGAGAGAAAGGGAAGAAAATTGAGGCATAAGAAAAATCTGGCACAACATGAATATTCCAAGTGCAGCTGCTGTGATTTGAGGAAGAGATCATCCATTATGTGTCTTGTCATGGGAGCTAAATTAGCTGAATTAGCTTTATTATCAAACTTGAATTGGATGAGAGGACTAGATGTTCACTTTAGTTGTGGCTTTGCAGAACAGAGTGAACATAACCAGACTGAATAACTGGTGTTGAAATGCATGTTTTATGTTAGAGGTGGTAAAACACACACTCAGATGAAACCTGTACCTTCAACAGTCCTGAAAATATCTGGCTTCTCAAAAATAAAATGACCCCTTGATGTCAACAATTATTTCTGAGATGTATTTAGAAAATAAAAAAACTAACATAGTTAAGTGAGAAACAAAACACACAGCTAATTAAGAAGATAAAGAATGACAATGGTACTTCCAAGAACAAATAATACTCACCTTAACCTGCACACCTAGAGCTCCCCTGCACACACACAGCACCAAAACAAGCACAACACTCAGCGATATCATTTTCAGATGATGCAAGTTGCGTCTCAGTTTAGAGGAGGGTTTCTTCTGTTGTCTCAGTTTGTCGCCATCGCCTCTTCTTATACAGAGCCTGTACAGATTTGTGAATGATTTATTAACAAAGACAGCTGGCAAGTCGAGGAGAGTTAAGGCAAGGGGAGACGCACTAGTCAAAGGTTGCTGTACTTTGGATCCGCTTTTTTAGTTTATAACCTCAGTCCTCAAGACGTGTTTATAGTCTCTATCTGCACTGTTTCTTCCGTCAGCGCAATATTTCATTCTTGATTTTGGGTGTCATGTTAACGCACCTGATGCCTCAAATATCTCCTAATAAATCTCACCCCTTGTTTCTCTCCCATAAATATATGTCAGGGAGCTGTCTGATAAGGAGGGGTGTGTACACCTACAGAGCTGATCCACACACTGTGTTTGAATAGCTGTGATGTTTGCAAATGATAACGTGTTGCAGATGCAAAATAGAAACTTTTTTGTTTGGTTACACAATCACGAATGCCCTCTAAAATGGAGAAAACTTATTTTTCCCACAAACCAAGATTGCAGATACGGGCAGGTAGAACTTAAATTCAGAAGCTAATTTGCCTCATAAAAATATAAAAACTAAAATTATAAAAGTACCAAAAATATGAACTCATAAATGTGTACAGTGTATGACTTTTAACCCTTTTTCTGCTTCCCAGTTTGCTGATTAAAATCATGTTTGTCAGTGACAGATTGTACTACAAAATTGATTGTACATCCAAAATTAAAACCATGAAAGTTTGTGTATGTGTAGGGATGTGTAGGGGTGTTTCTTTTCCCAACAAAGCAAAATGAAAGCAATGTGCCTTGCTGGCATTGCTGCACACAAAGTGTTTTCTGTGTAGCAAGTACAGTAAATATTCATGTATGTTTATATCATTTAAGATACACATGCTCATCATTGTAGTTTGTGCATTCAGAAAAACAGGTAGGTGACGGGGTGGGCATGCAGAGAGTCCACTGGTGACCTGGGCTGATATTATATATATATACAATGAGGTAGTTTAGCTGAATCAGATAATTAAAATTAATTTTCTAGTGTTGAACATGGGCATACATACGTTTGGGGGTTGACATGAAGATGCATTGTAAATTACATACGTTTGAGGGTTGACATGAAGATGCATTGTAAATTAATAATACTTGGGCAACAGCACCTGCAGGGGCTTGAAAATAGACACTACACAATGAAAACAGAGTAAGTCGTACAGCAAGTGGCCACGAGACTGAGCCATAGGTATGGAGGAACAGGTGTTCGCATGCTCCACCAACCTTTTCCAGATGAGTTATAGGAAAAGACCAAGTAAAACCTAGATGACTAATGAGTCATCATTTATCCCCAGTGGTAATATCAAAAAGACACTGTTACAACAGCTGCATGTGGCTCACAGGTCTAGAATTACAGAAAGGTAACACTCAACTGTTCAGCTTTACAAAGCTTCTTTTAATTTAACAAATTTACATATGTATCTATGTTTACTATTCCTATCAACCCCCTACAGCCGTCTGTAAGAAACAAAGAAATAAAAGCTCTGATAATCCGTAAGCAAGCACTCATGAAGAAAGTTGAGCATCTAGTAATTAAAGACCCAGAGAAGTTTTCCAGGGGCAATCAAACAAAAGTAAAAGGCCAGTAAATGCTGATTTACTTTTATTTGACAGTTGGACACAGAAATATCTTGAGATAAATGCTAGTGTTGCTCTGTTTCTGTCAAATGTGTAAATAAGCAAATGTTTGCTATGACATTAGTCACATTAACAATATAAACTGCTAGATATAGTTATGGCCTTATACTGCATGTGTCCATTTATCTTGATCTTTTTGTGCCCCCTAGTGGCCAAAAACGAACTAAAGCAGCTTTTAAGTATATTTTTCAACACAGAAACACTATTCTACATATTGCTTTTTTCCAACTACAAGTTAAAAATTATTTTTACACAAGTTGTAATGGTCAAAAAATGGTAAGAGAGTAATAAGAATAATGGCAATAAAGAATTTGAATTTACAGGAAGGAGCACAATGAATGCATGATCTCTGAATGAAGGCTTTTTATTTAAAACAATGTTAATAAAAAAAGGTAAATGAAAAAGACAATTTTCATTTAAATATGTATACAAAGCTTGGTAAGATAGAAATGTAACAAACTATGTAATTCAAAAAATAAAATGCATAATAAAGCACTGTCATCAGGAAAAAAGGTGATAAATATGCCACAAAGTAACAGTTTGCAAAAAAACATACCTCAGTTTATGTGCTATTTTTTAGTAGTGATTCCAAAATGCATAAAGTGCCCAGTGGGTCAGAATCTCTGTATTCAGGGAACAATAAGTCACTGCAGGCATATCTTTAAGAAATCCCCTGAAATAATTTTCAGAGAGAGGAAACAAAATCAAGTTTTAAGCTGGGAAAATGTTTCTTGCTTGCTGGGTTTATTTAGCAGCCAGTGCAGGCAGCAAAGGCACAGATCTCACAGACGTCCATGGGAACTTCAGCTGCAATAAAGACAAAAAAACATCAGATATACTGTTTATTCACCTGAACTTTAATATTCATGAGCTACTTGTTAATTTGCTGGGCTGTTCAATTTATAATAGTCTCACCTAGTCTGGCAAGAGATGCAGATGCTCCTCTCTGCTTACAGAGGGGCAGGAATTCCTGTGGGAGCATTGGGTTGGCACAGAGAGACACGGTGTTTGCCCTCAGGCGTGGACTTTGTCGTTCTGCCACACCTTTCATCAGCTCCTGAAGCCTCTGCACACCTTCCATCGAGAAAGACAATCCATTCTCCTGGAAGAAAGGCCAGATGTTGATGTTAGAGAAGTGCAACTCAACCAAAGGCCCAACTGGCTATTATGCTATAAGGTCAAATAGTGTGCTAATACAAAAATATGAGGCAGAAGTTTGTAATCCACAAGTGTACAGATGGCTGTAGCTGTGTAATTTCTGCACTGCACATGGCTAAATACAGTCACTCCTTCTTCTAATCAGCAGAAAATCTCATTATCCAGGACAGGCAGTCTCATCATGAAGCCACCAGTCATACACAAATGTTAAGAGATGCACTTACTTCGATTTGCACAGCCTCAGAGGTCCAGCCGAGAGCCAAGATGAGGAGAGTGATGGTGGCAAGAGTGGTCTTCATGGTGACAACGATTTGTCTTGCAGTGATTTCCTTTATTTCTGTGGACGTACTCAACAGATGCTCAGCTCAGTGTCTGCTTTCCCTCCCTCTACAAACCTCCTTTTAAACAGTTCAGCCCTCCACCTCAGGAGTCACGTGAGCAGCACAGGTACAAAAAAGCAAAGCTTTTCTCAAGGTTAATGAGTAGTGATAGAGTTTTACAGGGTTGTAAAGGGGACTTCATAAATTCTACTTTGACCTCATCACATACGTGATTACTTTTATGGATCCTTCACTCATTTCGACCGCCCTGTTAGGTATTTTTAGTCAGATAAAAATTAGATAGGTACTTTATGTATTAGAAATGTTTAGTGGAGATAGGATGTCTAGTTAGACTGTTAAATGCTTAGGCATGCTTATGAGTTTCTACAGGGTACATCTGGTCAAGGATACTAGAGAGAAGAGTTGATGACTGTCAGCAGACAGGGTGTTTAATATTATTATTATGACGTGTATAACTGTAGCCTTAGCCATAATATGTTCTTATGTTTAAGTCACGACATGTTACTAGAGGTTGTGAGAATGTTTTTAGTTACACACCACTTAACCAACAGACACACACACATTGATTTGCTTCATGTTTTGACTACTGCTATGACCAGCTGCAAAGCTGGCAACAGAGACATCTCTGCTGACGTTTCTGTGTAGTATGGGGCTAGCCCAACCGAGGGGATATAATGTATAGGCCTGGTGGGTTCAGGGTCTTTCATCTTACATCTGCCTGCGAGCAGGTTGGAGGTGCAAGATACCTGAGCGTGTAATGTTAATTTTACCTGTGATCCTTTGAATAAATCAGCACTGTTTTGAAGTTACTTAGACTGTCTCGTCTCTCAGAGTTAGCAATGGTAACAAGAACCGAAGTCCAACAGCCCCTCTTCTGGGTTAAACTGTTACCATGAGCTCCATAGATGCCAGTGGAGCCACAGCAGCCCATTGTTGTAAAGTCCTACACTTTGTTTTATTTACTTAAATTAGTTTAATTACATCATATTTAGTAGAGGTCCTATGTTTTCATCTGCAGACAGTGACGAGTCAAAGGAAAAACCTGACCAAATGAGTGGTCTGTTCCAGGATAACAATGCCCCCCCCCATCCACAGGGCCGAGGGGTCACTAAATGATTTGATCAGAATCATATGGCCTTGTAACGCATATGAACACTTAATGGGACATTTTGGAGCGATGTGTTCATCCCTCCAGTAGAGTCCAGAGACTCAACACCAAGGTGCATTGAAACTGTTCTGGTGTCACATGGAGCCCCAACACCTTGGTCTTTCCTTTAATTTGTCACATACCTGTATAAATATATTGTTTTGTTTGCAGTACACAACATTATGTGGGTGGGATAACAAGAATAGGCTAGGTGTTTGTTTACTCAGTTTCTGCAAACAGCATGAATTTCAATAGATGCATTTCCTTTCAGGCAAGACAAAGAGCTGCCCTGTTAGTAGACAGAGCTTCAGTGACAACCACTGGCACAACAATCTAACCACCTCTACACCTCTCAAGGACAGCAGGAGGCTGTGAAATAATCAATTCTGCTTGCAGCACCAAGCTGGCACCCAAATACACAGCAGTGCAAGGGTGTGGCAGGCCACTGACACATCTGTGGGGTTTTTAAATGAACTCATTAAACACAATTCTTTACGCGGAGCATGAAGGACTGGATGGTGCAGTGGATCTCAACACTGCTGTCGTGACCTAACTTTAATTTGTGCCAGATAGAAATAGCTATTTTATCTGTTTTTAATTATCAACGTTTCCCATGATGAAACCTGACAATGAACTTATCCTTCCAACTAATAATGGTTTTGTCTTGGGCAAAGATGTTTCCATTCTGGACAGACAGCTTTGAACATCTGTACCCTCCAAACACACTATGTGTGTGAGGCTAATGTGTTGCTAATACCACATTCCAGGTGAATGTATTTCAGTATTCTTACTGTTACTGTTGAAATGGTGTGATAGTAATATAGTATCTCTGAATATGGATAAAACTAAATTTATGGTATTTGGGAATCGTAGACTAGATAATGAACTTCAATTGAAAATCGGGGGAGCTAATATAAAACGAGTACATGAAATTAAATTTCTAGGTGTCATAGTTGATGACAAATTCTCCTGGAAATCTCATATCAGATATGTTCAGAACAAAATAGCAAAAAACATATTGATATTGGCAAGGGTTAGATATATTTTGGATGGGAAAGCACTACGCAGTTTGTATTCTTCATTGATTTTTGTAACCCTTCCTTAGTATATCACTGGTGTGATGTAAGAATGTTAACACTGTTATATTCTTTTTTTAGTATAATATGTGTGTGTGTAGAAGTGAATCATTTATTGCTTGCAAACCAATGATGGTAAGATGATGTCATGGGGTAGGACTGGATAAGTCTGACTTCTTCCTACTCCATTCAAGCATGTATTAGGTATAAGCAAATTGATATTGGATTAGCATTTGGTGGATATGTGTAAAATTATGTGTGTTGATATATCAACTGTCTTTACATGCTTGAAAGAATAAATCAAAATCAAAATCAAATCAAATCAAACTCCATGTACATATTTTTTAAAAATAACTTGTGCCAGTGCGATAATATTTCACTGATGATACTTTAAAAGGTAGTTTGTACTTCTGTGAGTCCACTTTTCTTGTTACTGTGTTCAGCTTTACAACACCTTTGTTTATGGAATCTCATCCTTTTTTAAAATTTATAGTGTTATAATAAAAGAGATTGGTGTTTTACAGCTTACTGCTGTTTCCATTTCATGTTGCAAAACTTCAAATTTTATGGGACGTGTGCTTATTGCACTGCTGTGCACCACGATGCTTCCTGAGAAGAGAATGACTACGTCAGTCATGATACTTTATGGTGGTTTTATGTGTAAAAATGTGTTTTTGGGTGACAATACTTGATGACAGAATAAATTAATTGTTAAGTTTAGTCCCTTCAGTGGGTTCTGTTGATGATACTGTAATTCTTCCATCCAGGTGGGGCCTTTCAGGCTGGATTACCAACCAGGCAGCTGTCCAGGGGCCTCAGACCACCAGGGGCCCTCACATTACAGGCTCACTGTTAATTAAGGGCCAGTATACAGTATGACATCAGGACTACTTGTTGAATAACTTCAACGCCCCCCCACCCATTCACACATCATCGGGAAAATAAATTAGGGAGAGTCTGTCCAATCTTTTCTGCATCTTTTTTTTTTATATTCATATAAACTTGAAGCCCCATTGTGTAGAGGGTAAAACATTTCTTATAAGCCTTTTATTGTTTCCGGATGCTGTAAATGACTGATCACTGAATGATACACTGGACAGAGAGCGGAAGACGGGGGTTAACGGGGGCCCACATCTCATTGTTTGCACTGGAAAACCTGAATATGTGAGTTTTCTCTGGATGCTTTGGTTTCCTCCCACAGTCCAAAGACAATCATGTTGGGTGTGTGACTGGGTGTATGCCGACAGCCTGTTACCTGTGATGATAATGAGATAAGCTCCTGGAACCAGTGACCCTGCAGAGGATAAGCAGTTTGAGACCATGGAAGCTAAAATAACACTGCCGTTATCATTTAAACCCTGGATTAGTCATCGTTAGTTGCAGTGCATACATGATCCAGCCCATGCAGACAGGTGGGAGCAGTGAGGCTGTTTTCAGGTTGCATTGTTAATCAGTAATCCTCGCTTCAGATAGGTAAGGCCTTTACCAAATTAGGCCTTTTGCCAAATGCTGCTTGTCAAAATTTACTGTGTGGCCAACCAGTTCTCTGTTGAGTCAAGAAGTGATGGCAAGTATTCAGATAGGTAAGGCATTAAGACTGCACCATCAGGCTGTGAATAGAACACAGGCTGAATTCATCAGACCCACTCTCACCACAGACAGCTTACACTCACATGTGTCATCAAGCCATGTTTTTCCTCGCTAAGGAGGCTTCATCAAGCCGACTTTATACATTTAGCTGAACCTGTGACGTTCTGAGAATAAGTATAAACGTGAAACATAAGTATCTTTTAAACTTTTTATGGTGAACATGTTAGCAAACAGTTGCATGCTTACACTTCCAGCTTTAGTATTGTATTGTAAGTTTAATAATTAGTCTATATTTCACTCACTTTTTTGTTTTTTTTTTACTCTTCAGCGGCTAAATGCTCTATTATGTTCACCAGTCTGTTGCTAACGTTGTGTGTCTGCTGCTGGGCAGAGAGCACACAGTCAGTTAAACAGAGTCTCCTGTGTCCTGAAACAGCACTGACAAGAGCAGTGAAAGAATCAAAACAGGAACTTTGTGGCCAGGAAAATCAAAACAATGAACTGAAAGACACTAAAAGACTTAAGTTATACAAAAATATATGTCTCAGCCAAGTCAATACATGTAGACAAATAGTTGGAGTTTAAGAAGAAGCAATAATCCTAGGTTAATCTACAGCATATATTAAAAAGGCATTGATTACTCAGTGATTACTGTGTTTAGAAGCCTGTGTTTCCTGTCATTGTCATTGCTGTGATGATAATTTTTGTTGTATCGATCATCTGCACAAGATCCAAATAGATGCTCACTGAAGAAATTATTTTTATATATTATATATAAAAAAAATAAAATAAAAAAAATTTTTCAGTGAGGAGAGGAGGAGTGTCTGGAGAGAGGGAAGTCTGGGCATCTTTGCTTAGACTGCTTCCCCCGCGACCCGGTCCCGGATAAGGGGAGGAAGATGGATGGATGAAGAAATTATATTTCACAGAGAAATACTAATCTTTGACATGAAAGCAGAAGCAGAATTAAACACATAACTATTTTATATTTTACACTGTTTGTAACACATGAAATGTCACTTTTCTAACATTAAATGCCATCACATACTAAATGCACCTACTTTCACACAAAACAAAAAACCAAATCAAACCTAAACTATGAAGCAGAGTCCAAACCCAATATCAATTACAATTCCTCACGTTTT